AGGGCCATCCATCCAGCAGTGAATTATTCCTTTGATATGGAAGTGTGGGTGGGCAAAATTCTGGGAAAGGGCTTCTCTATGACAGCTATGAGTCTTAGGCCACCATTAGTGGGCAATAATAAGGTCAGATGTTTGTTACGCATTATTAAGAGCTGGCAAGAGAACATCAGGCACAGAAGCTCAGTTCCACAGATTGTAACTTTCATCTGCAGTCAAGTATACACAGAAATCCAGCATGAGTGCAGAATAAATGTGCACACTATCATAAACTATTAGCCACAGTTTATGGAGCAATTACTCAGCAGAGGCACAGATACAGTGTCCGTTAACGTTCTGCCCAAGATCTGAGCCTCCTGTGTGGTTTAATGAGTCATATCTTGACTCCAGATGTTTTGTGGGCCTACAGCTTCTGTCACATCTCTTCCCATCTGTGCTCTCCTCCTGCGTTTACAGTAACAATGTGGTTTTGAAGCGAGGTTGAAGTGTGACATCTGTGTTCAGTTACATTCTCTGGCTTAAGGCATGCTGGAGAAGTATAGTCACAGGGCCTCCGACAGCAGATACCACTAATAAACATGCTTTTTTTCTCTATAAAACTAGACTAGTTGAGTATCTCTCTGGTTAAGAGACAACAGTGCCACTCACACTCTTTCACACACACCAGAATGCCTGATAAGTCACAATCTCAGGATTTTACAAACTAAATCTGATGCTGTTCATTAGGTTTGACGATATAATGCCAGTCAACAGCAAGGAACAACTCCAAAACACAAGGGTTTATGGGTGTGAGGAGGCAGATGTTGGCACTTGATAACCAGCATTTCCTTGTGTTTGGAAAATTGTTTTTTTCAAAAAGAAATGTGGGGGAAAACATTTTCATCGTCTTTTTCCTTGTGAGCTCCTTAAAAGTGCTAATTATAAACACAGCCACTAACAAACAAACATCTTAAAACCTACCAGGTCGGCTAAAACCAGTTTATACTGTGAAGTTGTGTTGCAACACAAACAAAGGTGTAATTACTAAAAGGTTTTTCAATATTGACATGGTAAACATATATTGTATCGCTTAGACACTCCACAGTTTCCAGCTAAATGGTGGTGACTGCCAGTCTTTGACGTTTTTTTCCATTCCTCAATCATTAATATTAACTTGGTCCATCAATCAAAACAATCTAAAGTTTTCTTTCAGAAAAGTATCCCAAGGTATGATTATTGTCATGTGACGTTCATTGCAGTTTGGCACTTCTCTCCACAGCAGTTTTCTCTCTGTCTGACTTTACCTAGCTTCAGGTTTGCTTGTTTTTGTTTATTACCTCCGTGCAGGACGTTCTGTTTTCATTTGTCTGTCTGTTAGTTAGTAGGATTACACAAAAACTACTGAATAACCACAAAACGTGGTGGAAAGATCTGGTATGAGTCGGGAAAGAACCCATTCAATTGTAATGAGGATGAGGACCAGGGGGCAGCTCCAGTCACTTTCTTTTACATTGTTTTTCATTTGATCTCAATAATTCATGGATCTTGATTAACTAAATCAGGCATGTTTAGGGGACTGATCTAAAGAAATGGCTGGCTCTAGAAGATTTAAATGAGACCGTTGGGCCTTGGCGAAGGTGTGATCTCTATGCCATTCTAGTTAAAGTTTTCAACCCACGAGGCTTAGGTGACGACAAACACAGTTCATTGAAAAAAACGATGACTATCTTCTTCCAGTAATATGCTGTTATTGGCTTTCATATAATCAATCATTCTGGCTGAAAACAGACATGTAACCTGTCCAATGTGAGCAGGGAAGGGGGTTCCGGCACTTGGGGGCCTTGTAAGCTCTGGTCTTACAAATGCAATGATGGCTGAAGGGTCTTAGCAAGCAACAAACATCACCACTGAGCCCAGCCAATAGACCAGACAAAACGTACAATTAGCACTTTTAAGCACAGGGCGGCCGCAGGTCCTTAAAAAGTATTAACTGTCTTGAATTCAGATTGGATGGGTTTTCATTTCGTAGGCATGTCTCTACTTATTGCTTCTGATAAGTGTTGTGTTGTTGGTATGTTGCTGGTTATGTTTATTTGTTAAACTAATGCCTCTCTACCAGCCTGCTAGCTCGTTTATGATCATGGGGAAATGTTTAATTTCAAATGACAAGCACTTGTAGTGGTTAAAGCCAGTGGCTGGAAAACAAACTGCACAGTGTGTCTTTCAAACTCAGGACAATGGGGATCAAGAAGATGGAGTCTGATGGACGTAAACGTGTTTACTCAGTGTAAGGTAAGGTCTTTGATTTCAAGCAATATCAAAAAAGATTTAAACATTCTTAAATTGTATTTATTTTTTTGTTTGTGTTGTGTTTTTTTCATCCTAATATGAAAAGACAGTTATAACCTGTCAGTTCACAGCAGATAAAGTAGGCTAGGTTTTAACTTACTTAACGAGTTAAACGAGTAACTGCTCTGTGTTTTGTTTTTTCCTAATGGGGTCATGACCCAAAATGAGTCACTGGTGCATCTGTCGGTCGCCACTGCGAAGAGATTAACATAATTATGATGTTTTAAATGAGCTTGGGTGATTGAATGAGACTAAAGATTTACTACAGGCTACCACAGACTGATCCAGTTTCATTTTGCTTTTTGCTTTCCTGATGTTGTTTTCTTGCCTCTTTTTGACCCGATGATGTCTTTCTGGTTTGACTTTCTTCTTCAGTAAACTATTTTCTTGAATAAGAGGTCAGACCGGGCTTTAATATGACTTACAATTAGCTCCCTTTATGTGAGGGTGATGTGTTGTTATATGCATAGAAACAGGTCAAACTTCTGCAACTTCTGGGTTACTGAGTTAGAGCTCGTGGAACTTTAACAGGTTTCTTTTCAGTCATTCTTATAGCCGTCCCCAAATGAGGATTAAAATAATGAATAAACTAATACAACAAATAATGTTTGGAGGTGAATTTAAATGTGAAAAGAGTAGAACACGATAAATGCTGATTGTGGAGCTGGAGAGTTTGAAAACATCGGAAAACTTGGATTTGCACACACTGCTGGATTTATTCTCTCATAGGAAAGGTATGACACTGACCAGGCAGATTACTATGAGAACAAGAGTAACATACATGTCTGATATAGGCTACCTGAACGCTTCAGCACGCACAGCACACAACATGCTGCATACTAATGTAAACAATTTTTAATGAATTGAACACTGAAAAACCCAAACAAATGTGATTCTGAAATGCTAACCTGCATCTTGCAAATTAAAAGTTGGTGGTTTGAGCCATACACACTTCATCCAAAATTTAAAATACCCTGTCATAATACTGTACAACCCAACTACACAGACATTAACCTAATACTATAATAGGTAACCTATAGATAAATGATAAATACAGTGTAGATCATTAAACAAGTATTTCCTCATCACTACCATCATATCTATGTAATCATATCAGGGGGAGTGACTAAGTCGGAGGCCTAGACGCTAAACACTAACCTGCTCTACTGTTGCAATAAACATTTGAACGTCAATTGTGAATACATACTTCAGTGGATTTTAAAGCTGTTATTGATCACAAAGCGTAAATTCAGTCAGGCTTGAATTCTTTTTGAATGACAAGTGTTTTTTGTTTCATGCAGCCAAACATATGATCCTCTGGCAGATTATTTAGCACATCCTGAAGTGGAACATTTTAATTGTCAGCTCCTGGTTACACATAATGCAAATTAAACAGCAGCTGGCAGTGATAGGGCACACATTTGAATGAATGAGTTGAATGAAAATCAGCATTTGTCTTGTATTTCTACATTTTAAATAAACTTTTGTCCTGGCTCTCCGATATACACTGTGTGCTTTAATTACAGCTGAACCGCAGACACACATGTCTAAAGATTAACAGAGCCAACAGGAGCCATTAACAAAGTTGAGCTCCTCATGTGACTCCAACATTTAAACCAACCATGTGAACAGGATTACTTTCCCCCGACAGCAAAGAACAATCATTTCAAACATCAACTCAAATTAACCCAAATGTCTTCATTGACACACACCAACAAACACAGTTTCATCTACATAACAGAGGACATTACGCACATTTCAATGATTTCCTGGAGCAGTTACTACTTGTCTAACCTAATCCTAATCTTAACCTAAACATAACCTTAACTGTAACCTTAAAACATGTCTTTTCCTTAAAAATTTAATGATGTATATTATGGGGACTTGCTTTTAGTCTCCATATGGAAGTCCCAGTAATGTGACGGTGTAAACAGATTTAGGTTCCCTAAGTAATACCATGATCACACACACCAGTCACATTCAATTTAGAACGATTTCATGGAGACTAACCCTAACCTTACCCACAGTTACTACTTGTCTAAACCAATCACTTACACTAACCTTAAACTAAACCTAACCTAAACCTTAATCTAAACCTTAACCTAAACCTTAATCTAAACCTTAANAACCTTAATCTAAACCTTAACCTAAACCTTAATCTAAACCTTAACCTAAACCTAACCTAACCTTAACTTTAACCAAACCTTAAAACATTGTCTTCACTATAATGTAATGATTTACAGACAAGTCCCCATAATGTGTCTGTGTAGGTTCCCACGTCACACACACACTTGACTCTCAGTAGTTGTGAGGACACTCATTGGCATAATGCATTCCATAGCCCCTTACCCTTACCTTAAAGGGATAGTTCACCCAAAAATGAAAATGCACTCATTATCTACTCACCACTAAGCAGATGGAGGAGTGGGTTAAGTGTTTGAGTCCACAGGGGTAAACACGCTGCAGCCACCCATCACAACTAAATGTCTAACCCTAAGTAAACATTAAACCCTGAAACCAAGTCTTCACCCACAGACAACCCTATGGAGAAGTGAGGACCGACCAGAATGTCCTCACAATGATGGTATTAAGGCAAAATGGTTCCTCATAACTATAGACAGACATGTGCGCACACACACAGTACAACAGACTATAGTGCTCCGTCGTCCACTAACCTGGGCGGGCCGGCGGGCTCCCAGTAGCGGCAGAACAGGTGCAGTCCGTCGGCGTTGACGATGTGCTGCAGGTCGGTGTAAGGGACTCCCTGCGGGCTCCGCCGCGGAGAAGCTCCCGGCTCCGGCATGGAGGGCTCTGCAACGGAGACACGGAGCAGCGATAAGAGCACATCACTGCCGTAGAGGAAGCAACCCAAGCCGGCAACGAGCAGGCAGGTGGCGGCGGTCACTGCGTTCATCACTTCTACTGATTTACTGAGCATCGGCCTGACATGACACAGTGAGGGAGCTGACATGTGACGGATCTAATCCTGAGCCACACACACACACACACAC